CTGGCGGCGGGGCTAGTAAAGCATGGCGGGCCGCCAGGCTTATAATACACTGGGGGAAACCCTGAAATTACTACAGCAGTGAAGAAATTTCATATGGAATTCACACAACTGGAATCCATGTTGGCAGATGCCTCCATTACATTGTCCATTTCTTATAACCACTAAGTTCAATAATTCTTTGGCAACAAGTAAATAGTCACCAATTTATACCAATGCAGTGTTGGTGTTGTGCTTTTGTACAGCATTTAAATAGATCTAATGAACAGTATCACCATTTTAAGCTTCTATCAATATACAGGGCCTTACCTGTCCACTATTGCAGCCATACTATCCATCAGTGAGACTGCCTTGTTGACCATTTTATCTCCAACAGCCTCGGAGGCTCCCTGGTCCTCTTGTGTCTTCTGAAGGAGGCACTCTGTCAGTTGCAGTCGGCTGGAAACCACCTGCAGACATGCAGTTAATGTGTTGACATTTACATTGTATGGACAGAAAGAGAATCTGGAAAAACAGGATGCAACTTTCTTGCACAGCATAGAACAAGTCCAAGAATGTACACTGATGTTCTTTTCTAGATATTTTCTAATAGATGTGTTTCCTCTTCACTGAATAGAGATTAAGATCAACTGACTTGGCATTTTTAGGGCAGTCATGCAGAACCTAGAACTGTGCATGACTTGCCAGAAGTGATCACACTGTTCTCATCAGCTATAATCTCTTTTGTCTGCTTTTGCATTGTTCTCAGTCATGTTTTACAAAACACTGCATGTGAACCATATTGGGGCCAGGAGTTTTTCTTTCCCACCCTCATAGAGGTCATGTGTCCCCGTCTTTATCTCTGCCCAGAATATTCTTGTCATTCCAACTCAGCAATCTGATAGAAAGTCCAGAGTAGTCAGTAAAATTAAAAAAACTGATGTGTTGACCACTGAACTGAGGGTAATGTCCTTAGAACACCATAAAAAAACTTCACATTGTCCTTTCTTTTGTTTGCCACCTGTACATCATAGTAAATATGTTGTCTTGTGTAAATCTGCCATTTCTTGCATCCTAAAAGCAGTAAATGTAAGCTTGTGTCAGGTACATCAAAAAATACCTTGCTACGGCTCTCCAAGGCTTGTCTCATCTCCTCCTCTGCCACACTGAAGGTGAGGACGTCGTGGTTCTGGTCATGGCCTTCCAAACATGTGATGCACAGAGACCTCATGTCATTAGAACAAAAGTACTCAAGTGGAAGGTTATGGACGGGGCAGGCCCTGCTCCCCAAATCCTTCAGAGGTTCCACCAGAGAGTGTGTCTTGAAGGACTCCCTCTCGTTATGCTTCTGGAGATGCCTGAAGCACAGCGACACCTCACACTTCAGACAGGTCTTCACTGCTGGAGTCTTGTCATCTATGCATTGGTCACAGAAAATGACATCATCCGCGTCTGGGTTCGTTGGTTTGATCACATCCTGGATCTCTTCGTAAATGTTTTGGGAAGAAGCTTGGAAACCCTCGACAATGTTGGAAAGTTTGAAATTTTTCTGCAGAGTATCGACCCCATGATAGGCCTCGCGACACTCTGGGCAGCGTAGAGGTTCTTTGCCACTGTCTATGGAGTCAGCAGACTTAGAGATGCAAGCTCGACAGTAGTTGTGCCCACAGGGTAAAACAACTGGATCGTTGTAGAGCTGAAGACAGATGGGACAGCTCAGCTCCTGGGCAAGCTGGTCCTCTTGCTTTGATAAAAACATACTGAAAGTTGAAAAGAATTGCAGTTTTTTTTTCTCTTCTGGTTGTAGTTTCTTTCTTTATTCTTGTCTCTCTTCTTGACAAAACCTTTCATCCATCCAAGTGAGAAACTAGCACCTTATCCTTATTTCTCATTAAGAGAATCCACAGGTGGAGAGACAGCTACAGCAAAGAGCAAACAAGAAACAATGCTGTCAGTTCTTATCGAAATGAGAGGTAGGAGGTGCCAAACTTGTTTGCAGAGCAACATTCCAGAGTCAAGATCATCCGTGGTGCTTGGAAATCACACCAGCATCGGGGTTACTATTGATGGGAAAATACCCTGCCAAAATCCATATAACTTAAGGAAATGCATCCTAAACACAGTAAATGTAAGCTTGTGTCAGGTACAAGGTAAGGAAATGTCAGCAATTCTTCTTTCTGGAAACCACCAGCTGTGATTTTAAAGCAGTGATGTAAGAACAAATACATCCAGCGTCAGGAATGCCCTTGTATTTTCCTAGACTGGCTCAATTAAAACACAACATACTGAGCAAAAAAGAAAATCTTCATCAAAATATATTAAATGTATTTGGAAACTTTATATCTTCTTGGTGAGAATAAAACAGCTGTTATTGCTTCCGTGTTGATATACAGCAAAATGGGGAAGCTCATATTTTATGTATGAGGAAAGTCACATCCTCTGCAAATTCCTTGTTTACTGTAAACATGCCAACAAACAAGAGAAGGAAAAGAAAAGGTGGTATCAAAGTTTCCGTTTGAAAAAAGGTCAAATGTTGAGAAAAATGTCAAGTCTTTAAGTGAAGATGACAATTCTTTCCTTATCCTGAAACCTGACTGTTTCAGAGGGCCGGCTGCAACTGTTTCCAAAATAAGAGGCAACATATTGCTAACTTGTAGCCAAAATCTTGTTCTTTTTCTTCTGTGTTTGACGAAAACAATAAATGTAGGACCATGAGTACTTTTCAGCTGACACGCTTTATTCCACTTGGTGATGTGCAGAACAGCAGGTACACAGGTTCTGTAAGGGCAATGACATTGACATGTATTTGCTTTTGACTGTTTTGTTGTGAATCTTTTATTTGTTGATTAATTATATGCTATTGCTCATGATCTAACTCCTGGGCATTCCTCTGAGTGTTTTTTTTTTTTTTTTTTTTTTTGGCACACCTTCTTCTGTGAACCAGACACCCGGTTGAACAGGCAATTCAAGCCTTTAGAAGAAATGGTACGTTGAAATGTCATTCACTCTCATGAGATGCTGGGACTTTTCTCTCACAATTGATTTACAGAAAAGAGAAAGTGGTAAAATAAAACTTTACCACTTGTTGAACTTTTTGGCACAACGAAAATTTCAGCAAGTTCATCCAACTTGGTGATGGTTCATCTGACTCAATTACATTATAGAAAGAGAAATTATTTCTATGTTTTGTAGACAGGGTAACTAGTTAAATGTAATAACATTTGCTAAGTTTTTGAATAAAAAAACTTTACGTGGTGGAGTAGTTTTACTCTGCCATGCTTTTTTCTTCTACCTGTTAATATTATTTTGAAGTAACAGTACTGTGAATCAATTCTGGCTACTCATTGCTTCACTGAATAAAGAACAAATACCTTTTTTACTCTTACATGAGTCCAATCTTTAGCTTCTCTGGTTGGAGGTCATGTTGCAGAAATATAAATCACATACAGCTTAGTAAAAGATACTGTGCATCTATTGTCCTCAATAAGCATTACATGTATATACTGTTGAAACCAGATTTTTACATATACTGCAGTGTTTCTCAACCTTTTTTGGGCCAGCACCCCCC